GCATGACTTACTTTACTTTCTGGTGCCTTCACTTCCAGAGACAGTTGTAAGCACTGTGTAACTGCCTCGAGGGTGCTTGACCATTTTAACACAACGTGGTGCGATCATCCCCCTTGCGCGGGACGAGGGTTCTCCACCCCGCACAACATGATCTACTCGACCACCACTATGGTTACTGCTAAAAAAGAAAACGGTGGTATGCATAAAAAAAACAAAAATGGTAACCTGGTTGCCGAGTTAACGAAGTGAATTGTCATGTTTTACAACGTCGTTGCCAAGCAACGAAAACCCAATCCCGATGGCAAACACCGGGGGCGGCGGCTTGTTTTACAACGTCGTTGCCAAGCGACGAAAACCCAACCCCGATGGCAAACACTGGGGGGGGGGGGAGAACATAGTTGTGCATGCCGTAGTCGTTCAACCGTTGTTGACCTCGCATCCATACAAAGCCGGGACGGAGCACTCCGGTTTCTCATCGGACAGAGCTCTCACATCACCAAGCGCGAAGCACCGTAAAGTAATCGGCAAATCGCATGAAGGGTGCGCTGCATCCTGCTGACCGTGTTGGGTTGTGCTTACTTCCTCGCGTATGGATGACGTGTAGACTTATTACACTATTTTCTGGTGCTTTCACTTCCAGACAGCCAAAAGCATGTGTAACTGCCTCGAGGGTGCTCGACCAATTTAACACAACGTGGTGCGATCATCCCCTTTGCGCGGAGTTAGCGTTCTCGACCCCGCACAACATAATCTACTCGACCACCATTCATTTCGGTTACCGAAAATTAGCAAAGAGGCAAAAAAAGGGGTGACCAGGTTGCCGAGCTCACGGAGTGATCGGCTTGTTTTACGATGTCGTTGCCAAGCGACGAAAACCCAACCCCGATGGCAAACACCGAGGGGGGGGGAGGGGGGACTAAAAGGATACCCCGACAAGAAAATCGTCGGTGAATGAGCATGATATCAGGAAAAGGCATGGTACGGTTTTCTATGTATTGCTACTTTCTTTCGTGATTTGTTTGCGTGGGCGAATGTTTTCGCTTTTCCTACAGTAGGGGGCCCTCTATAGCCGGTATGTGTTCAGAGAGCAAAGCGGCACTATACCGGGCACCGGCACTATTCAGAGTACAGAAAGACTGGATATTCCGGTGTGTGCGAGCCGAAAACACCGGCACTATACCAGCAACCGGCACTATTCAACCGGCACTATATCGGGCCACCCACTGTATTTTTTGTGTCTTCACGACACGACGACAATATCGTGCTAGCAACACCAGCACCGCCGTATCACCGGCAATAACGTCGGTGGCGACGAATAGCAACTTTGGACTCCACCACCATGATCGCTGCAACCGAGAAATCGACACAGCGACGGAGGCGACAGCAACACCTGCAAACTGTCAGGAAAATCGTGCGTCGAGACCACCAGTAGTCGGACACGGTTTGACCTTTGAATACGATTGCAGCAACTAGTCTGCGTAGCAGTAGCAAAGAATCCATCTCTCCGTGGCATGTATTCTTTTGTTCTAGAAATATTCCGGAAGCATAGTAGGTCAAGGTTCACCGGGACATCTACGTAGAACGTGTGTAGCTTCTGGAAGCCTTTTGGAAACTTCTGAAACCTTCTGTAAGCTTTTGGAAGCGTTCTAGATCTAGGTTGCAGTTGATACTCTTCTAGAATATAGGAGGGCTTCCAGAAAAACATTCTGGAAGCATTCTGGATCTTTCGTGTGATTGGCTTATTTGTCCGGTATTCGAGAAGAGTGGTGCAGCCCTAAGCTCGCCCACCACTCTCACTCCTCTTCAGTACCAGCAACATCAATCTGACTCGGGAGTCAGCAACTAATAAAAGCATCTTCATATTTCCATTCCAAGTCTCGCGGTTGGACACGCACAGCGTGTGAACCTCTGAGGTAGGCTACACAGCCTCCTGGCATCTGCAGCATCGTACTGCTGCTAGTGCACAGCGAAATATCGCTNGGAAGCGTTCTAGATCTAGGTTGCAGTTGATACTCTTCTAGAATATAGGAGGGCTTCCAGAAAAACATTCTGGAAGCATTCTGGATCTTTCGTGTGATTGGCTTATTTGTCCGGTATTCGAGAAGAGTGGTGCAGCCCTAAGCTCGCCCACCACTCTCACTCCTCTTCAGTACCAGCAACATCAATCTGACTCGGGAGTCAGCAACTAATAAAAGCATCTTCATATTTCCATTCCAAGTCTCGCGGTTGGACACGCACAGCGTGTGAACCTCTGAGGTAGGCTACACAGCCTCCTGGCATCTGCAGCATCGTACTGCTGCTAGTGCACAGCGAAATATCGCTGACACAAACAACTTGAACGCCACTCAAAAATGACCACGATCCCCTCAAACGAAAATTGCCGAAGACGGCGACGACAACAGCAGCAGTATTCCAACAATCACCAACTTCAAGCATGGCGCTAAAACCCTAACCCCTACCTCACGACCACCACAAACGAAACCCTCGGTGGCCGGAGTTGATAGAGATGGCGGCGGCGCTCTGCGTCCCGAGATGAAGGTCGTCGGTCTTGGTCTCGTCAGCATACTCACCGCGTGCTACCCTGGGATGATTTCTCCCCACCAGGACGGTTTGCTCCAGGTATCTCGAGGTTGTGAAGGAGAAAAGGTCTTTGTGTGGATGTGTGTGTACTTTCTTCTAAGAAAAAGGAGATGCACCAGAAGGGACGGTGTCGCGGTTGAAGCGAGTCGGGGCCGGGGCACCGGGGATAGTTGTGTTTTTTGTTCTTCCCGTAGCAAGCGAGGGGAGTGTTGCCGCGGGATGGCACTTCGCTAGCGCGATCTGCAGGTAGCAGTATTGCCCCCCCTTTCGGCGACCGGTGGGACGTCTTTCGCTCGGAGGAAAATCCAAATCACCCCAGAAGATCGTGCGAACACATTCCAAGGTTAGCTTGGCTGAGCTGACATTTAAGGCTGCCACTCCCTCCCAACAATCTTCAACTTCCTCTCCTCCCTGCGCTGTGATTGCCGTGATTGCTGCTATGGCGGCGCTCTTCTTTCTGACATCGTACCGTGTGCTCTGCTCGGCGTTGACAACGCGTGTGTGCTTCTTGGGGTGGCCTAATCGGCCTGCAGATGTTTGCGTACTCCCACGAAGGCGCGGACATCGGCGTGAGGGTGGCGGCCTTGAAGGCGGCCTGTTCCTACCTCCAGCGCTTGATTCCGGGTTTGTAACACTTATTGTTGCACCTCGGCCACATGGTTAATGCCTCAAATGTCCCGTGTTGTTGTTGCTATGTTCGGTTGTGGTGGAGGCGGGAAAGGTCGCGGTGGATTGCACCCCCTCCAACAACGCCATGGTCGACGCGACGCGGTGCTTTTTCGGTCGCAGTTGTGCCTATCACTCTCGTCGTGTGTTGACGTCGTTAGTCTGGTTGATTCCCGATGCTACTTGCTGTTGCTGGGTTGTTTGCCACAGCTGTGGTCGTGGGCCGTGTTGTCAGTCACCCCGAGCCAAGCACGGGAACACACTGAAGTAGGTGTACACCATGGTAAACATGGCATGTGGTGTCCTTTCTTTGTGACACCCTCCATCGGTCTGCTGTGTCCTTGTCTCGCCTGCCTCTAAACTCACAAGTCCTCGAACTTCATGCAGCTCAAGAATTGAAACACTGGATGCTCCCCCGTCCATTCGTAAAGCGCGACAAGTTTAATATGAACCTCCGAATTCTGATTGGGTCCATCTGGAAGAGCAACCAACCGTGCTTCGTCGTCGTCACATTCGTGGGCAACAGTCAAATGTCAACCGTCGAGCTATTCACGGCAACCAATGGGTGAACCCCTCGCCGCCTCTTCCTCCCCCTCGTGCGTATGCCAACGGCTCATCATGTTTTGGCCTCCTGCTCTCAGGGCCGTCAGGTGCTGTCGCGTCCGCTTCTCTGTGGCCGAAGATGACGTCCGTCGTGGAGGTAAGTGTTCGCCTTTTTTTTTCTCAAGTGAGACTCACTTATTCTACGTGTTAGTAGCTTGTACACCAGGATGATAATCCGGGCCGACATGGCGGTTGGTTTTCAGTGTTGAAAAGGAAGTGAGTTGTGAAATTTGAATGCAGGAACGAAACGACAAGAAAAAACGAAATAGAACCTGACGTAGGCACCGAAACGAAACTAAACAGAACGGGCCGAAACGGAACGAAAACGGGAGCGTAACAGAACAGAACACGACGAGGCGAAAACCGAACGTAACGAAACTCCCGCGTGTACACAAATCTAACCTGCTTACGGGATTTGTTCTTCTTCGTCTTGGGCATGTTGTTGTCTATAACGCACCTCACGCAGGCCGCGGCTGACTCCGGGGATCCAGTCGCTGCCCAAGAAGCACGGGAGGTGGTCGACGGGATTACCATCGAGCAGTCCGGGGCCGCAGGGGGGTACTCAGAGGGGACCAGCCTCGAAACGAGCTGCCCACCCTGGAAGAAGTATGTGAGAGAGAGAGCACTTGTTTGTGTGTGTTGATGGTTTGGTCTGTACCGGTGCTTGCGAGTGTGGTCGACCAATTCCAACCCAACCGTGCTTGCGAGGCTTATGTGGAGTCGATCAGCCTTCAAGTGTTCTTCGGGCAAGGAGGAAGAGATCATGACGGAAGAAAGCCGGACTATTTGGTACGTCTTGCCTTCGGTAGCGTTCATTCATGTCGTTTTCACCCAAGGTTCAGACACACGCAGGTTGATGTGCTCCGGCCATCCGTTTCAGGCTCTCAGACAGGTGTAACGGAGCAAGAGTTCCTCTGGCTGTTGTCATGCTCTTCGCGCGTGCATTCGCAATGGCGTCTTCCGTGCGCAGCGATGTCGCAGTTGCTGTCGATGACGGCGTACATGCGCGACGATGCCGTTGTCGACGACGATGATCACGCCGATGTGGTCTTGCTTGCCTGTACGCCAACAAGCCCCGTTTGCCCTGTACCCACAACTTCCACTGACGCCCGTGCTACCGTACAAGTGCCGGTGATCACAGCACACCCCCTAGACTGATGTTCAACAGCTCGATGATTGCACAACCAAGAGGCTGGTATCGAAAACCAAGCGATTGGTGCAAGGAAGTTCTCGATGAGATCGTTCCCAAACCATCCTTTTCCGCACTGGCAATGTCTCGGTTGTGAAGCAATCGAGCTGTTCAAGTCGGTTTGGGGGGCGTGCAATCACCCCTGCGTTTACTATGATACCATTCATGAAACCGTTCATGAAACCGTTCATGCAACCGTTCATGAAACTGTTAAATGAACTCCGATTTCGACGTCGCCAAGACTGGTTTGACGCCGACCCCGGTCCATTCGGCCCGATTGACGAAACTGAAGAAAGTGTTGGCGAAAACCGACGTGGTCGTTTCATGATTTCATGTTTTGATGTCGCCGAGACTACCTCCACCGTGGATCAGATCTCTACGGCCGATTTGCTCATGAACGCGAAGGTCACTTGTGGCTACAAACGTATGAAACCGTCCATGAAAACGGTTGATGGTGTTGTTGAACCTTTTGGTGAAACGGATGGAACCGTTGACGAAACCGATGAAACCGTTTTTGAGATCCGATATCGACACAGCCGAGGCTGCCTCGACATCAGATCCCAACGGCATGCGAACGTCACGTGTGACTACAAAAGATGAAACCGTTGATGAAACGGTTGAAACGTTCGTGAAACCGATGAAACCTGTTGGATATACTCGCAGCAGTCTCTAGACGTGAGGATCCTGGGGGATACGTGTTGGGAATTTCGTATGTTGATGGGTGCCACCGATGCAGATACGGGGACCCTTTTGGCCTTGGTTGCGGTGTTGAAGGCTCGCGCATGTAGCGCACTGCTTTCGCTCTCTCCACCGCTACCGCCGTCTCTCTCCAACCAAGTTTCCTTCTCCAACGCTCTCTCCAAAGCCAGCGCCATCTCTATCTCTACCTCCCTCCCTCGGCCTAACACGGCCGACTACCCACTGCCCCAAGAGACGCCCATCACGGGCTTGCTGCACCCCGCGTAGTTTATCTTTCAAAACTCTTCATGCAAGTTGTTTTCTTGATTTTTTTTCGACGTCGCGGAGGCTGCCTCGACTGGGAATCACGTTTCATTGACCTGCTCGCTGATGCACGCGAAGGTCACTTGTGGCTACAGACGTGTGAAACCGTCCATGAAATCCGTTGATGGAATCGTTTAACCTTTTGGTGAAACGGATGGAACCGTTGACGAAACCGTTGAAACCGTGTAAGAAATTCGAAATCGACACAGCCGAGGCTGCCTCAACGGTGAATCAGATCCCAACGGCATTGCTTGCTGATGCACGCGAACGTCACTTGAGACTACAAAAGATGAAGCCGTTGATGAAACGGTTGAAACCGTTCGTGAAACCGATTAAACTGATCATGATCATCGATTTCAACGTGGGCGAGGCTTCTTCAATGGCGAATCTAACCCCAAGTTCCTGCTCGCTGATGGCTAATGAACCTAAACGACACCTGTTGTCTGCGCGAAAACGATGAAACCATTAAGGAAATCGCTAATAAATCCGATGTACGACACCTGATGTCTGCACGAAACGATGAAACCGTTTATGAAATCGCCAATGAATCCAATGTAATGTAAATGTTCATGAACAGCCCGGTTTCGATGTCGCCGGGGTTACTTCGACGCTGAAACTGATGCCTATGACCCGCTCGCTAGGAAATGCGAAGGTCACCTGTGATAATACGAATGATGAAATGGATGAAACTGCTGTTCGTGAAATCAGATTTTGATGTCGCCGACGCGGCTCTGCCGGCCTGCTTGCTGATGAATGTTAGATATACATCATATCCACTGAGCTAAACAGTCAGCAGCTGACTGTTTAGCTCACTCAGTGGATATGTTGTATATCTAACAAAAGTACAACCAGGGTCCGAACAGCTGTTGGGCTGTCTGACTCTGGTTTTCCCCCAGGGTTGTAATCCCTGTAATCAGTGCTGCCCCAAGCGGTTCATCGGCTTACAGGCGGAGATATGTGTCTTCATCGTTGACGACTGGTGATGTGTACCATGACTTTCAGGTGTGTATCCCAGACTTTTTTTAGGCAGCCTGAGGGAAAACCACAGTCAGACAGCCTAACAGCTGTTCGGACCCTGGTTGTACTTTTGTTAGNGGGCTGTCTGACTCTGGTTTTCCCCCAGGGTTGTAATCCCTGTAATCAGTGCTGCCCCAAGCGGTTCATCGGCTTACAGGCGGAGATATGTGTCTTCATCGTTGACGACTGGTGATGTGTACCATGACTTTCAGGTGTGTATCCCAGACTTTTTTTAGGCAGCCTGAGGGAAAACCACAGTCAGACAGCCTAACAGCTGTTCGGACCCTGGTTGTACTTTTGTTAGATATACAACAACAACTGTTTAGCTCAGTGAATATGTTGTATGTCTAACAACTGTTCGGACCCTGGTTGTACTTTTCTTAGATATACAACATATCTACTGAGGTAAACAGTCAGCGCTGACTGTTTAGCTCAGTGAATATGTTGTCGCTGACTGTTTAGCTCAGTGGATATGTTGTATATCTAACAAAAGTACAACCAGGGTCCGAATCCCTCTGGGAGCCATCTTGACGCCTCTCTTCAGGAAAGAGAAATAAGTCTGGGACACACACATGAAAGTCGTGGTACACATCACCAGTCGTCAACGATGAAGACACGTATCCCCGCCTGTAAGCCGATGAACCGCTTGGGGCAGCGCTGATTACAGGGATTACAACCCTGGGGGAAAACCAGAGTCAGAGAGCCTAACAGCTGTTCGGACCCTGGTTGTACTTTTGTTAGATATACAACATATCCACTGAGCTACGGCTGACTGTTTAGCTCAGTGGATATGTTGTTTATCTAACAATGAACGTGAACTTCAGCTGTGACTACAGTCAGTACACACGATGAAACTGTTCATGAACCCGTGCAATGAAATCAGATTGCGACGTCGCCGAGGCTGCTAAGATGGCCTGCTTGCTGATGATCGTGACCTCCACCTGTGACCACACCCGATGAAACCATTGATGAAACCGTCCATGAAACTGATGGAAACGTTCATGGAATCAGGCTTTGAAGCCGCCGAGGCTGCATCGACTGCGAATTTGATCCCTCCGAGATAATGGTAAATTTGAGAACGAGTAGAGTATATACGCGAATGAAAGTCGTCAACGGTGCTTGCGTCGAAGTTTGGGACTCCGTGAGCTTTTTCAGCTAATTTTCACTTTCACCCCCAATATTTTGTAATTCTTTCACTCCGTTAGGGAGTCGAACTCACCACCTTTGCGACTAGCGGTTACGAGATTACCACTAGACCTCTGGCGCGACCGTACCTAATATATGGTGCGCTCGTACCCACTTTATCAGTCTCACCAACTAGTGCTGTTGTGTCGAGCACAGCAGCAGCGTTGGCGGCGAGTCTCTTCTCGCTGTTGTTTGCTGTGCCGCACAACAGTGTGATGCGGGTATCGAGCGTTGGTCTTGAGCGAGCACAGATATTTCTCGCACGGGTTGTCCATGGAAGGACGTGTTCGGGCGAACGGATTCACGCGCGTGCAGCGCAAACAAATGAACATGTAGGGCATAACAGAGGAAGCAATGCCTGCCTACTCTCAGGCACCGCGCATTAACTTGGTCGCCACGCCTGTCCCAAAGTGGTCGCCTGCGGGCCTTTCTGTCACGGGACATGAGAAGACAGTCTTGAATCGAGTCGAGGTTATTCCACACAGCAACAGCGGTCGTTGCTCATTTGCTGAACGTGATACCGGACCCTCTCATCAAATAAATACCACGATACAAGATAAACCGGAGCGGTGGCACTTCTTCCGATCCGCGTCTGGCTCCGATCGATAGTTCATCGCTGTTTTTATCAGCCTTTTCCCGCCCCGCTCTCGCTGTGTGTTTCTACCCAATAACTTTCCGTTCCGTTGTAGCAGGCGCTCCTTTCCGCCGTGTGTTCCGCTCAATGGTTTCGCTGTCCCTTTGAAACAGGCGTCGTACCTTCTGCCGCTGCGTGTTTGCCGCCCAATGGCTTGGCTGTACCTCTGACACAGGCGTATCCTCTGCCACTGTGTGTTTTCCGCCCAATGGTTTGGCTGTACCCTTGAAATATGCGTACCCTCTTACCACTGTGTGTGTTCCGCCCAATGGCTTGACTGCACTTCTGAAAGAGGCGTACTGTGTGTTTCCGCCCAATGGCGCTGCTGTCCCTTTGAAATAGGCCACGTTAACGCTGTGTGTTTCCCGTGGCCTCTCTGTGTTGATTGGCATACCCTTTACCGCTGTGCATTTCTGCCCGATGACTTCGCTGTTCCTTTGTTAACAGGCGTACCTTACCGCTGGGCGGGACGAGCGATTGACGTGGAAACGACCACATAGCGGCGGCGGCGGCGGCGGCGGTGGTGGCGGTTCCTCCTTCCCGCTGCCGCTCGAAACGCCCGCCGATGATGTCGGCAAGTCCGCCGACGGCACCGGCGGCGTCGTCGGGGCTCATGCATCGACCGATACAAAGGGTAAATGCCAAGGTGGCCAAGACAAGCCCCTGCCAACCCGGTCTGGTGGCGCTGTTAGAGCTAGGTGAAGAGCTAGGTGCGGCCCGCCGCCTCCCGAGCCCGTCCGCCGTTCGAGATTCTCCGCTCCCGTTGATGGCGGAGGCGACAGGCCGCGCCAGCAACAACAGCTTGATCACCATCATAAGCAGCACCAGCAGCACCAGCAGCAGCACCAGCAGCAGCCGCAGCAGCAGAGGGAAAAGGGACGAGAGCAGGAAGATCGGCATGTCCCTCTGCGGGCGCCCCCACCACCATCACCAAGGTCATCTGCTCGCGTTGATGGCGGAGGCGGTAGCTCGCACCAGCAACAACAGCTAGACCGTCATCATCATGAGCAGCAGGATTCGCAGCAGGCAGAAGGAGCAGCAGCGGAAGCAACAGCAGCAGCAGCAGGAGGAGGATTCGCAGCAGCAGCAGCGGAAAAAACGACCAGAGCAAGAGGATGATCATATCCCTCTGCAGGCGCGACCACCACCAACACCAACACCATCGCCCCCGCCGCGAACACCAACACCAGCACAACTACCACCACCGCCACCACCACCTCAGTCGGCGCAGCCGCTAGCATCAACATCTACACCGGCAAAGCTGCAGCCTCCCCCGTCACCGGCAAAGCTGCAGGCCCCGCCGCCGCCGCCGCCGCCGCCGCATCCACCGCCACCGCCACCGTCACCGCCACCGCCACCACCGCTGGTACCAACAACAACAACACGGGTACCCCCGGCACCCCCGACACCGGCACCGCCACCGCCCCCACCACCGCCCCCGCCACCGTCTATATCATCAATACCAAGGCCGCCTCCACCGCCACCGCCGCCGCCTCCACCGCCACCGCCGCCGCCACCACCGCTGTCGTCAACCTCTACCATTGCCACCGCCGGCGAGAATCCCAGCAATGGCAGGTACGGGGAAGAAACGGCAGCGACCAGAAGGAGGAAGCTGGAGTGGGGGGCAACCACCGGACGGGCAGCGGCCGAACGGCGACGACGATCACGATAACGACGATCGTGGCCGTCGTTGGAGCGGGGAGAGAGGACAAGGTGACTGGCGAACGTGCGGGATCAGCAGGCGGGGGAAGGGGGCGGCGGCGAGAGAGAGAGAGTTCCCAAAGACAGGAAGGGGATACCATGGCGCCACAAGCACGGCGCGAAGCCGCCGCTGCCGGCAGCGGAGGCGTTCTTGGTGCCCACAGCCGCCGCGCAGGAGAATACGGCGGTGGTAGTAGCCAGGGGCCGCTCGAGGGCAGCAGCCACAACGATGGCAAGCGCCGCTGCAACACCGTCCCCTCCGACTGCGGCTGGTTCCACTAGCACCAATCAATGCTGTCTCCGCCTCGCCGGGAACAATGCTGGTGGCGATAGACTGTAGCAATGTTGCCTTCGGCTTCTCTGACGGGAGCATGGGAGAGAAGCGGTGGTCGTTCAGGGGGCCCTCGACGGTGGCCGGACGCAACCGCACGTTTGTCTCGGCCGCTTTCGTCGTCGTGAGCTCTGCAGCAATGTACAAGCAGTTATTTTCCCGACAACAACCGCTGCGCGTGTGTCTTTGTTATTAACATCGACCCCGCTGACCGGCTGAACAGTGAAAGTCTTGGTGTGCGTGTGTGTGCGTGCGTGCATGTGCTTGTCGAGTTGTTCCCGCGAACCGAGAGATAGGACTTTTCTTGCAGCCGTGCACGATGACGACCGGTCGGTCGATTTTTCTTGACAGTAGGCGCGAAGCAAACGGGTAGAAATGATTTTTGTTGTTTCGAGAGAACAGGCCATGAAAACGTCCGCGACTGAACACGTTATGTGTGCTCTCATTCCACGCTACGACGCTCCCCGTACCCAGCCATATGCGGCAAATCTAAGCTGCTTGTTTTGTCAGACCAGTAGCTCCACTTGCGGGCAGACGACACCGGTATCGAATCGCCCATGCATTATTCGTGCCTCATGTGCGCTATCACCGCTGGCGTGTTGCGAGTGGGGCAGTGAATCGCGGATAGTGGTTGGAAGACTACACCTCTTTCTAGTGTAGCTCTAAAATAATTACAAAAAAACTCTTCGGTCGATTTGAACCTCTGCCCGCCTTTCGGCCCTCCCGTGCTTTTGTCCCGACAGTTCTTCAAGAAGCGAGGGATTCCGTGCGTGATCTTCGTCCCCAACTGGCGCATGAGCACCGTAACGCGGAACGATGGTAAGAATTTCGTCGTTTGCTATTCTATGGAAGCACCATCCACACGGGACTAACATCGAACCTTACCGTAAGTGACACAAGAAAGCACACCCCCAACACACCTCTCCAGGAAAGCACACCCGGTGATATATATAATTTTACTCTGAAAAAAACGCCAATTTCTTACACCGGTGACATCAAAGATAGCACACCCCCTACAGTCTCGCCGCATTTCCAATCACGGAGCCTCCATTTTCACACCTCGTGGCTAGTGGCTGGTGGCACGGATGTGCACAGCCCGACATGCACACACGAACAGAAGCACACAGCTGGTATGCACACAAACGAGGACAATACGGAGGTGAAGGAGGTAGACAACCCTCCTGAAACAACCCCGCTGGAAGTGACGTCGCTCAGACGGTGGTGTCAATGTCTACGCCGGCGCCTCCATGAGCGATCACATCATTTTTCTCGAAGCAACCCGCGACCAAGTCAAATGATGAGACGCCAAATGCACCAGCCACCGCAAGTGCTGCCAAAGCCCGCTCAACAGCGTCCGCCGAGGCCAGCACAACATTGTCGGTTGGTGACCCCGCAACAGAGTTTGCTGAGTGTTATTACACACCCCTTCATTTATCACACCTCTTCAAGGAATGGTGGAGCAGGCAAAAATTTTATCACACCCGCTTTGGCGTATCACATCCCCTTGGCTTATCATCCCCTGATTGCGGGCTCCGTCAACGTGTACATTATCACACCGGTGACACAAGATAACACACCCATTCCAGGAAAGCACACTAGGTGATAAGCTTCATAATTTGAACAATCCTATCACCAGGGTGTGCTTTCTTGTGTCACTCACGGTACTTTCTGAACTACAAGTACAGGCGCATGCATGTCTATCACACCCCAAGAGAAGGACCACGCTGCTCTGCGGTAGGCGCGAGAAGGCAAAGGAAGGAACTCTGAGATGAAAATCCAACATACCCACCGAACAAAACCAGTCGTACACGCGTCAGCAGAGAGCAAAGCAAAAGGGACAAAAAAAAAAACGTGAAAAAAAAAACTACAAACTGCTGTGGCTCTTTCATCAAAACGGGTCAGTACACACAACTGCCGGGCTTCACAAAACATACCACCAGCCTTCAAACCACAAACCAAGGAGCGAGTCCACCTAGCGACGCACCGACTTGTTCTCAGCCGAGCACCGCTACGACTCGTCCGCCCGTGAACAAACGCTGCTGGTGGGCATCTGCAACGCCCGTTGCCCCGCTTCCCCGAGCCCCTCCCACGCCCTCTGGAACTCCCCTGGAAACACCGCCTTCACCAACGCCACGACCTCCTCCGCCTTCTCCCTCGTCTCCCGGTCAACGAGCTGCCGCTCCCACAGCTCTTCCTGGCTGCCGTAGCCGTCCCCGCCGTTCCCCCGGGACTGGTACTCCATCATCCCCGCCATGGCCGTAACGAGCTTGGGGACAACGGCCGCGGCATGCAAGGCCCCGTCCCCGCCACCGCCGAAGAACAGCTCGTGGCGGGCGAAGGCGAGGTCGACGACTCTCCGGTGGCACACCTGTCCCTCAGCCACGTCCACCGTTATCGGCAGCGAGTCCAGGAGGGACCCCACCACGGCAGGGGGGAACGCCGCGAAGACCGGGCCGGGGCGGTGGATCAACACTCGGAACGCGGCAGACACCGCGTTGTCCCTTACCGCACCCTCTCCCCAACCGTCATCGTCGTCGTTGTCGTCGCCGGGGTCCTTCCGGGCGAGCGCGAGCAGAAGCCCCAGAGCCTCTGCGCTGTGGGCGTCGAAGTCCTGCCCTCCGAGCTCCGCGGCCACGCCCAGGCCGTACGCGCAGGCCTGCCTGGTGGACGCCGCCGCCGGATCGTCCCCGCGGGCCCCCTGCAGGAGGGCCGGCAGGAGGGGCGCCTGGAATACCGAGTTTCGGCCCCCCTCCCCGCAGTGCTCAAGGACGTCGATCGCCATGCAGAGCCCGAAGGAGCGGTGCGACGGAGGGACGGCAGCGACGGCGGCGGGGTCCAGGAGCTGCACGACGAGCGGCCTCATGACCGCCTCAAAGGCCGGCAGGAAGGTTTCCTTTCGGCCCTTGATCATCCACCCCGTGGCGTCGACCACCGAGACGAGGAGCTCCTCCTCTCCGTCTTCGAGCTCCCGGAGTTCCGCCGCGTCAACGGCCCCCGTCATCCCTCCCTGTCCGCCAAGCCCTCCTCCCGCCCCCGCCGCCGCCGCCGCCAATGCCGCCCTCGTTCTCCCGATCGACGCGGCGGCGACGTTTCGCAACCCCGTCACCGTCTTCAGGAGCCTCTCGTCCGAGAGACGAATCACGCTCGGTTTCTGCCCCTGTGTGCCACCCCCGCAGCGCCCCTCCAGGAGGTCGGAGAGGGCATCCGCGGCGACGCACTGTCGCTCCTGGTCCCTCCGCTCCAATGGCTCTTCTCGCTGCTGCTGCTGTTGCTGCTGCTGCTGCTGGGCACAGTCATTCCCACTGCCGCCGCTTAACCTCTCCGTAAGCGCGTCTACAGCAGCGTCCAGCATGGCCTGCGCCTCCTGCACTTCCTTCGCTCCCGCCCCCGCGGCCACAGCTTCGGCGGCACGGCGTTCTGCCAGGGCGACCAGCTTCGGCACAATCGCGGAGCTGATGACCTGCACCCCTATCGCATTACGGGGCCCCAGGTTCGGGATCACGACCGCTAGCGTCTCCGCGGCGTGGGGGGCGAACCCTTCCCCAAGGTCCTCCGTGTACTGGTAGAGAGTCTTGCAGGCCGACTCCTTGGCCTGCATGAGGCTCGTGTTCACGCCGAAGACCTGGCGGCCGACGCCCCTCAGGTCCACCGCCATCGCTGTAAGCCCCTCCGCCTCTAGCTCGTCCTTCGCGAGGGTGGCGTCGGGGGCGTTGGAGTGCTTGATCTCCGCGTTGATGGACAGGGCCACCAGGAGTGGCTTGACGGCTTCGCTGAGGTAGGGGAGGAACTCTTCGACCAGGACCCCCGCCATTCGTGCAAGTGACTATTTCGGTGTTCGTGTTGGTGGTATTGGTGCAGCGAGGGGAGAAGGATAAACATATTTAGAGGCAATTCGTTCGGGCGGTGCCGGGGGGAATACACGGGGCAAGAACGGGGACGGGGTGACGAGGGGGAAAACTCCAAAACAACATGCAAACTCGTTTTGACATCAGTGCATCGAGCACCATACAATCAGTGTTAAGGCTGGCTACACTTGCGCGCGCTTCTTCGGCTGAGCGCGCGTAGCACGACAGCTGCCGACACCGGACGACTTTTCATCAAAACCAAATCAAACCAAACCAAACTCAACGCTACCGGTAGTGAGCCTTGGGCTGCTGATACCGGAGACGTTCAAAACGTCCTGAATTGCGGGGTGTGATGGGGCGGTGGAAGAATTCGTACATGATGGGGAAGGCGTCCGAGCATTTGGCCCAAGTCCCATGAAGATGCTCTGCACGTGAAGTATCATACCACAACAAATAATAGATAGTGCGCCCAAGACTCATGCTTGTTGCCACGGCCTCAAAGTGAACCAGCATGTTAAAAACGTTGGCATGGGCACCACCTTTCTCCTAGCAGGCCCACTCCCGGCCCAAAAAAACAACCTAACGACTCTGTCAATGCGGCGACCATCGTAGACTGTGCGCTGCTCTGACAACTAATTCGTTCGAAGCACATGATTGATAAAAAAACGCCTCCTGTCTGGCATTCTTCCCATGTGATCCCAGCTGATGCGCTTCGAAGAATTAAGGCCGAACGGGGGTGAAAACTGCTCAATAAATGAGACGATAAACACACCGCACATACAGAGTGTTCGTGTCTGTTATCCCGCTAAAATAATTGGGGCGTATTTCCATTCGCCAGCCAGCTAGCGCGGTAGATGCCATCCAGAGATCACTCAAACATACAAGTAAACATGACGGGGCAACGATCGTACCTGAAGAGTGTAGGTGGACTGCGGGTTCGCGGGGTCCCTGGCGACCATCCCCTGCTCGTTCAGAAGCAGCCGGATCACCTGCAGATGATTGTGGTTTCGTTTCGGGTTTTGATGGGACAAAAACGCAAATAAATAAAAAGGTTAGGAAAAACGGGGAAAAAAAAGTTAAGAAAAAACGGGGCGGAGAGGGGAGTTATTATAGCAAAGCCCGCTGCTATTTAGGGGGTTCGAACCGAGGTACCGCTGCGATGGAGGGGGGGGGGGGGGGNGGGGGGGGGGGGGGGGGGGGGGGGGGGGGGGGGGGGGGGGGGGGGGGGGGGGGTACTCACAGTCCTGCATGTCGTAGGCGATAGACCTTTGACCTCGCACCCAAAGGGACGGAGCACGCCGGGTTGTTAACGGGCCAAGCTCTCACATCACTAAAGCACGAAGCACCGAGAGGTATTCGGCGAGCCACATGAAGGGTGTGCTGCATCCTGCCAAGGGTATTCGGCATCATATGCTTACTTCCTTGCGTACGGATGACAGCTGCGCAGCTGCGTATGGCTTAATGTTTTTACTGGTGCTTTCACTTCCAGAGACAGTTATGGGCACTGCTGTGTAACTGCCTCGAGGGCGCTTGACCAATGTAACACGACGTGGTGCGATCATCCTGTTTACGCGGAGTGAGAGTTCTCGACCCCGCACAACGTTATTTACGCGACCACCACGGAGGGGGGGGGGGGGGGGG